CTCTAGCAAGCTACCAGAGGAAGGCGCTCCTGCAGGGAAGAGCTACCCAGGAATACTGTGGCTGCTGGATAGATTGTCTACAGGGCTAATGAGGCTCCAGGAGTCTACAAGGTACTGAGGGCTGGGAGGCACTTAATACTCAAGGAGCAGTTTGGGATTTTTAAAGAAGCAGAGTGTGACTTGTATTATGTTATAGCCCAGGGGCTCATATTTATGTTGTTATTTTAGCTGGTAGACTGAACTGAGGCTATGGGGGAGGAGGAGGCCTCAGGGGACACACTATGGTGTAGAGCCCTAGCATTGGAGAGGGCACAGAGACAGGGCTGCAGCAAGATCAAGGCCAAATCAGAATTAAATGCTAGTCTCTACATACCATCTGTGAGGCATGGGCCACAGTGGAGGGCAGGTTTGGAGCAGTTGATAGCAACCCCTGGTGTCAGGGTAGGAAATGGGCAGCCTCCCACCTGAGGAACATCATAATTATTGTTCCATCAATGCATAGCAGGTGAAAGGTGGGTGGTTAGCCCAGAAACAGAGGGTCAGGCCAACATTGGACAGGCCTGGGGATAGCCCCTTGTCACATCCTACTTCTGAAACTGACTTTGTGTGGGTAGATTCCAATTGCTGGATCAGAGCCAAAGTGCTGTAGCAGCTTATTGGCAGAAATGGGTTTACTGAACTTTATGGGAAGCCCAACAGAAATGCTTTTGTACCTCTGCCAGTGAAGTATCAGTAGTAATTGCATTACTGTAACATATAAAATATAATTATTTTCTGTGCTTCCTCTCTCTCTCTCTCTCATTAATGGTCTCTTATAAGAAAAAAAGTACTATATACTATTTATAAATATCTAATTATCTCACATATTCACTTAAAATCATCTACAAGCTTCAGAGTTTATGCTTGTGAGAATTTATACAGAGTACATACCGAAATTAATTAAACAAGAAAGAAAAACTCAATGCCCCATATGGTTGTCACACTTGTCTTCTAAAATTTTCAATCAAACTCTTTTCCTGTAATGATTTTGCTTTACCGCACTAATTGAACAAGTGAATTGAAAGCCTGTTTTTCTTCAAAATAACCCATCCTATAAAAGTAAGATAACTCTTGTGCTGCAAACTTGGGTAAGGATTATGTCAATTATGCAGAGATTTGTTCAGTTTTTCTAGTGTCTCATTATGATTTTTTAGCTACTTTTGATGCTATTCTAATCCAAAGTATATCTTGATTTCCTGATCTCCTGACATGCTTAGAATATCTGTCAATTTTAATATCTGTAATATGCAGATATCCAGCAAAGATGCTATAATCCATTTTATTCCATTTAGTATACTGTACCAACATTCTCATTAGTCCACAACTCCAGAAAATAGCATTGATCTTTAGCTACATGATCACTATTAGTTAATGGTGAATGCACTATTTTGAAATGGGGTACAGAAGAAAATTTAACTTTTCAGGTTATAGTGTGCACATGCACAAAAGGGAACAAATGAATACCTCAAACTCAGCTTTTCCTTTCAGTTGTAAGTTACTAAGGTAGGGGTCAGCAACCCCCGGCATGCGTGTGAGCATGGCACATGAGGCCATTTTGCTTGGCATGCCACCACCAGCCCTGGCTCTGGGTAGCTGCTGCCAGCCATGGAGCCTGAGGGGCTGGTCCCAGCAGGTGGGTGGGAGGTTGCAAGCCCTGCTGCAGCACCCTGGGCTCCGTCCTTAGCAGCAGCTACTCAAAGCCAGGGCTGGCTGCAGCCTGGAGGCTGCAAACAGCTGCTCCAGGCTCTGGCATCAGCTCCATACTGGCAGGTGCATGCGTGCCTCTGAGTGGATGATGAGGGAGGGGCCTGAGCTAGCACAACCCTGGTCTCTCCCCTGCTGCTGGCACAGAGCTGATGTCTGGGCCCTGGAGTCCAGCACAGCTGTTTGTAGCCAGCCTGGGCTGTGGGCAGCTGCAGCATACAGCGGACAGGCTGCCAGCTGTGCTGGGCTCCACAGCCCCAGCATCAGCTCCATGCTGGCTGTGACTGCACATGCACCTCAGAGCAGACAGCAGGGGTGGGGTTGTGGTGCCTCTCTCTCATTGCAACATGCTTAACAAAAAAAGGAACACACAACAAAGGCAACATTTATGATTATTAAATATACTAATATGCAGTGCGTCCTGCCACGTAACCCCCTGTCCTCATTTTGTTTT